TTTTTAGTACATCAAAATTTATTTAAAAACTATATAGCTGAAAAGAGTTTTCCTCCTTTTCTGAAAAAAAAAAAAAAAAAAAAATTCTTTTCATCTATATAATTTTTAAACTTAATTCTTTTAATTATGTCATTTTAAGAATAAAAATACATGTATACTCTCGGCATACAGCCGTTACATATTTTAAGTATATTGTACTCCACTATAATGATGTACACATATAAAATCCTCTTCTTTAAAATAGCTATGTTTATAATAGCTATGACTAGCCAGCAAAGCGGATTATGAGCGCACAATTATAATTATCTCCGAGAAAATCATAAATATAATTCTCGAGAACTTATGTGATTCCACAATGATTATCCACCGTGTAACATATGTGACAAAAGTGGTCGCATATCGCTGCAAAAAGCGAATCGTTTCAGAAGCAATTCGGCCGTTTGCAATCGAGGCGCGGTTAAATGCGTCGGAAGATGTTGCGAATCGCTATGAAGGGTTGTTACAAACTCAAATTCTCTCCATAAATATTGTAATAACTCGTTTGAAAAAAAAAAAGAGCGTTAAATCAAACTACGAGTTTCTCGAGAACGTTATCCGTGAGAGGAAGCAAATGCGACGATCATAAATGCGATGTGCTCCACGCAGCTAATTGCGCGATTTCCACGAACAAATTTGAGCACAGATTATAGCGTCGTTCCGGTAGCAGTCTTAATGACGAGTGTCACGCCCGGTGTGGTAATGCAATCAAATCCGTGAAATAATCGTTAATTAAGACAAATCACCACGCGTCAACTTTCGTCGTGTTACGACGGTTTCCGGCGTGAGGTGAGTAATAATGATTAATGTCACGCCCGAGATGTCGATGCGCGAGAGATTAATGACCGATCGAGACGCAAGGAGACAAATTTAATTGGCGGCCGATCCCTTCGAGACGAAAAGCGCATACGAGGGGTATGACGCAACGATGTCCCGGCGTTATAATTGAAACTTATATCGATAAAGATACCGTTCCATGAGAAGACTGCGACCTCGATATTAATTAATGTCAATTATCATTTTTATCGATGTTACCCGATGTAAAAGCTGATCGAGTAATTTTTCGACCATGCCGGTTGCAACATCAAATCGATATCTGCACCTTTAATTGAAATATCGCTGCGTAACGAATAAGGATGCAGATATACTCTTCGTAAACGGTTTCGAAATGAAAAGAGAAAGTGTGCTCGCTTCTCTGACCTGAAAAAGTCTTGTTTGTCGAAATTACATTAGTTTATTATTGCGATTGATCGATATTTCGCTACGAAGAATATCAAATTTAAAATCATTAGGAGAACTGAACTTTAGATATTTCATTGAAAAAAGTATTAAGTTATTTAGATATTTCATAAAATTTTCTTGTTCCGATTTTTCTTTGAACGTCGGTATCTTTTTTTCTTAATTATAAAACAGATTACGCCATTTCGCGTATACTTTCGAAATCGTTAGACAATGATTCAATTTATTCGCGATCGATTATTCGCATACCAATGAATCACGATCCAAGATAAATTCGCACGTCTTATCGCGGGTATGTCTTAATGAAAGCACAAAGTCCGGGACCGGCATGACTTCGACCAAACTATTTTCCCGAACGCATATTTTCGTAATGCACTAATGGAATTCGCAGCTGGATGTCCGTGAAATGAAGAAGCAGCAACGGAACAGCCAATATATCAGAATGCCTCCGAAAAGTTGCACAGACTTCGACGCTCATTGAAAACACAATTTGCGCGACTCAGCAAGCGATGATAAAGAAATTACATCGTAATAAAATATTAACAACATTACCGTTCACAAAATGAGGTGATACGACCTTTATAATATATCATTAATATTAAAATCAACTTTTAATATTCTCATTTAGAGTTGCAAAGTTATCTCCATAAAAATAAGATAAGAACCTCTTTGACGGCAAGATAAAAAAAAAGTTTGAAATAAGGATTAATCATTGTCAATCTAATTTTAGATCATAATTTTTATTGATTTTTATTCAATTTAAATTTAAAATACCTAAATAATCAATATGGTTATTTCGATATTTAAATACTTTTGTTAAGAAATACAGAACATATTCTCATGATATTTTTATCTAAAATTCTGCAACGAATAACAAACACGATTTGCACTGTAACAATAACGTCGCACCTGTTTACAAAAACGTCAACAATTTGCTACAACTTGCACAGCGCCTGTGTTCTACAATAACCGAATGTTACATGTTCCCAGGTTTAATAAAGAGATACTATGGGATTGACGTTATGGTTCTCTCTTTCTCGACTCCTCTCTTCATTCCACTTCCCATACTCTCTGTTTTCATAACGCAGTCGGGAAATCCATTTGCCGAGACTATGTCAAATGCTGGACGAGGCGGAGGGAAAGAATAATGTGTATTTCGGTAAATATTTGCACAGTGGGGTTTTAGCGAATAATCTCTCTTGCTATTCTTCTCTTTATCTCTCTATTTCTCTTCCGAATGTGTGTATGTGTGTGTGTGTGTGTGTTGGAACTGTATGCATTAGCCGCGCACAGAATATTTGTTAGTTGGATGATAAGGCCGCATTCCATCGCGCTGAGCCGCTGAAGTACATATCAGTATTTTAGGCACTCAAAGTGATAACGCTTATCTCCCGAGGGCGAAGGTGGATGTCGAGGAAAAAGTAAAAAAAAAAACAAATATATAAAGAGAAATATATGCAAAGCACATCGAAAAATCTCGATCTAGCTGATAGAGTAACAGAGAAAGAAGAGGAAGAAAAGAAGTAGAGAGAGAGAGAGGGGGGGGGGGGGGAGAGAGAGAGAGAGAGAGAGAGAGAATGAGAGTTTGGTCGAGCGGATAACGTAATTGGATAATCGTATTTTCCACGGCAAACGCGGGACACCCACGAAACGTCTCGCTTAAACGTTTCCGGGCCAACGGCACCATAAAAGTTGTCGGCCGAGCGCAATAAATTCGCAAGTAATATTCTTTTGGGAGGTGAAATATATTTTGTCGAAGCATTTTCTCCGTACCGTAGTGACTCTCGTATCTCGCAACGCAATAGCCTCGTGCTCTATACAGTTTATACAGCCGCTGTAGCGGCTAGTAAATTCAAATTTGGCACTGCGATGCGGATTAACGTGACAGCCAAAAAATTGGCATGTCGAAACGACGAGATGTTTGAAGAAAACAACTACTACAACGAAGAAACAAAAAATTGTTGTTTGTGCATCGGGGAGACATTTACAATTTATACATGCGATTTAAAAGTTGTTGTAATTTTATTTGTTCGTAACAGATAAAATAGCGTTATCAAATAACAATCGTATAAATTAAACCATATGAATTAAACGATTTTCTGAAAGTTCTTGAGCGTTGATTTAACACGTTTTAAAGTTACGCGCAAAATCTCGGCTTGAAAGAACTCGACTACGCGCGATATCTCAACTAGAGAAATTATGATTGAATATTTTATGATTGCTTATCCATTCATTTATATATTAAGCACTTAGTGAAGTTATATATTTTCGTAAAATTCTAAATGCCCTGTTTCATATTTCGCAAGAGAAACAAAATACATTTAGTATTGAACAATGGAAATTTAATTGGTATTTATCACATTTTGATACTGGTAACATTATGTAAGCACATGCTTCAATTAGTTTACTAATGAACGCAATAAATATTAATAATAGTATCAATACTCGTTATTCGAACTGCTAATAATTTCAATATAATGTAACACGAACTAAATTTATTAATATACGTACAAAAAAAATTGATCATTAGCGAGACTATGTTATATTTCAATATAGTTGCTCGTATTATTAATATAATTACAAACATTTTATACATTACCTTTCCGATATATATTGTAGCAGAGTCTCATTCATGAGAAGTTACTTCGTAAGTTATTATGATGTTCAGAGTTTTAGTTATTCTACTTATATATAGGACAGAAGTCCGATAACTATATACCCCGAGTTCGCATAAATCTGTTGCACTGACAGTGCAACCAATGCGTTCTACGGTGAGATACTCGTGAGATACTTGATGGGAGCTATTCTTACATCGTATACCACGAACATTATCGACTTCGAAACAAGTTTTCATTGTGCGCGTTTATATCGGGAGGGAAGCCGTGTAGTTTGCGGCATCGCGTATAAAGTTCGCCGATAGTGTCGAAAATTTCAAAGACGGCTCGTGATTTCCCTAAAACAGCTGATTAAATTAATGAAGTAGAACGTTCTGTTCCATGACGTCGTCGAACGAACGACTGCACCTTTGCCTTTTGTGAAACTTCCTCGCGACTACGCAATACGCATTCGTGCTCTCTAGTCGTACGCTCGTTGCTCGCTAAGTCAAACAACAAATATTGTTTCCGATGCGAGATTATATCTCCACAATATTATTTTCAAGAAAATATTTGCTCACTCAGCAAATAAACGCTCACTTGTTTATTTAAACAGTTTTTCCTTTACAAATTTACATTACCGTTTCATGTTCACGAGAGTTCGTAATGTCTCGATTTAATTGGCAAATATTCAAACATCAGTTAATTTCAAACGACATCCCTTTCAAAATCTTTCGGATTACTTCTCATGTACTACATCTGTCGCGCATCAATGAGAGTTTTACTTGGGGAAAATCATCGTTTAAAGCGCGACGTTAATTCTCGCGATCAATTTCAATTATGGACAACAGACACGTTGATCGGCGGAAACGTCGTACGTGCGCGAGCAGCGTGATCGGCAGACACGGTAATTATAGAGGAAATACCCATGAATAACATTACGAGTCTGCGAGGATAATACCCATCGACGGTTGTTTTCGATCCAGCAATCATTGTTTCATTGCGCATCGTACTTGTCAAAATTAATCACTATCATATCGAATATGCGTGGCGCAAATTAGACGTAGACACGAAAAGAGAGAGTAGAATGCCCGGAGGGTTGATATTAATTCAACAGGTTCTCTTCCTTACCTGTCCTGGCGATCTGCGTGCTCCTTGTGGCCCTCTCGTCGTCCTTCCAACCGCCGTCGTTCCATCTCGATTCTTTTCTCTCGCCCACCTGTTCTCGATCGCCCCGCGTCGCCGACTCGCCGAACGACGTGCCTGGAATAAATTATTAATCGTATTCCGATCTGTCCTTGCACTTTTCGCCCCAGTTGCCTAAGTTTCCGTAGAATCAAGCGCGCGACCACCGTTACGACGATTTAATTAAACGAATGCTCAATCGCAAACTGTCGATTGGACAAAAACGTGAATTATCCTGATTCGTCGCAATTCGATAGTGAACTATCGATAGTGAATTGCAGCCGAAGATAAATTTCCGCTAAGAAACGAACGTTCCGATATCACTACTTATCTGTCACAATTTTGTAGTAATATATAATAAATTTAATTAATTTTATAATGAATTTATTATCGGTGCTATTGGTAACGGTGTTCAAGCGCTGCTCGCGTAAAAGGATTGAAACATTTTCAGCAAATTACCTATACTTAAGGGCGTTACGTAAGAATTCTTTTCAGAGTAAAAAAAAAAAAAGGGAAGATAGAAATCGCCGTAATAAATGCTAAATTAATTTTTTTCCTTGCGTAAATCTGTAAAATTTGTATCCGTTCGGGGACAGTCATTTCACCGGAGAAAAGTAGGCGACAAGCATAATTAAATTCTTGTTAAAATAGCCGTTGTTTTTCGGAGCGCGTAATGGTGGCATTTTAAAGTTAGAGTAATTAAAAAGTCGCGCGCGCGACCAGAGTGTCCTATGCGGAATTACGCAACAGTGTCATTTATACATATATATATATAATAGGCTCTTAGGAAAAATGTATAACGCGAAACAATTCATGAACTGAGCATATCCTAATCATACAGAATCGCGTTACATTTACAGAGCTTTCATTTAAGGCACTTCATAAATTTGCGTTTAAAAAGACATCACCTATATGTACATATACGAATACGTGTAGCTATTGGTTGTTTAAACTAATTATTCTGTGGCTGTCAAAGCTGGTCAAATTAAAAAAGCTCAATTCATCAATTTATCGCGGGTTAAATTTGCGTTTTATAAAACGCAATTTGTGTTCGAGGAACCGTGAAGCAGGCAAAAAAAGTTTTATATATATATATATATATTTATCATCGCTCTAACATCGGAATATCGAGATAAAGTAATAAAAAAAGAATATTAAAAATTATCTCTTGAAAATAGCTAATTTCACGAACGATACAAAGTGCTTTCTATCTCGTGTTTCAATTGACACCGCGGATTCACGTATATACGTGTGCCGTATTTATCATCGCTGTATGCCTTATGGATATCCGCGTAACAGAATAACACGTAGGGACAATATATCGCGTGTTAAATCGCCGCGAGTGTAGTCGGAGCGAGTTCGAATCGAGCGACGTAGATACAACGTGGGCTGCATTTCCGTCTCGGAGCAGAACGAGATCGAGATTTATCATAGTCTACGTGGCGGAGCCAGGCTAGAATTAATGCAGCGTCCCTCCTCTTCCTTCCCCCCCTCCCCCCCCCCGAGTCATTCTCCGCGACCGAGGTGCTTTATTCCTCGCGCCCGTCCGCGTTTTTTCCGTCTGCCAGTGCCGTGAATGCGTTCGATCGCCGTGCAATGATTTAACGTCGTTACGCAAGCGATTCTGCGATAACGGCCGTCGCACCGTCGTGTGTAATACCGGCTGCCAATTGCTCGCAACTGGAAACACCACTGCGACGAGCGTGGGATATTAAATCTCTGCGTGGCTGTAACTTTATTACTTCGATACTTTGTTGCCTCGCGTCGGAGAGAAAAATGCGAGGTATAACAGTAAACGAAACCACTCGATCGACTTTAAAACGTAAACGGTAAAAAAAAAAAAAAAAAAAAAAAAAACGAAAAGGAGGGAGATTAAAAGCCTTAAATTCGAACTATTTACACTTTGCGATTGGTATTTGCTGTGTGTGTAATACAGATAATATAAATAATCAGGTTTGACAAACGTTACTTTTCAGTTACTTTGCCGTTACTTTTTATAATAAACGATTTTACGACGATGTTGCAATTTTTTTATGACGGTAACGCTAACTAACGCTAAGGTTGCGCTTAAGTTAGAAGAGTTACTTTGGAAAGTAATTCATCATCATTACGCGTTTCTTACTGAAAAAAGTAATAAGCAATTACAAGTAACGAGTAAAAAGTAACGCATTACAAATTACGAGTTATTTTTTCTTAGTAACGAACTGACTTTTTCAACTTACAAGTAACGATTGACTTTTCTAACTCTGATGTTACCGTTATAAAAAATTCACAATGTTATTACCAAATCATTATTATAACAAAATAACGGTCAACAAAGTAACGGGTTACTTGCCAATCCTATAAATAACATTAGACAATTTGAATTAATCAACAAATTGTTGCTGATCGCACCGAAAGTCAGATTTAGACTTCACGGTATTATCGCATTCTCGTAAATAGCTGCTTGCGCGTGTAATTTCATCGTCGATGCGTCACGACTTTTTAAATAAGACTCTTAGGTCTTCTTTGCTAATGGAGATCGACATTCAAATGACGATTGATATTTTATTACGATGATTCAGTCGTCGTGAAATTCACCGGTCACCGGGTGGCAAAGCGATAAACATTGCACGTATACAGATGCACTGCTCGTTTCGTCGAGAAAAATAACCGGCTGCTGGCGAATTTATTCGATAAACGAAGACACAATCGCACGACATTGTAACGTGAATTCTTGCTCGACTGGCGTCGCCGTTCGGCGGAAATGCATGCTAACGGCACGGAAGGAAATATCGTAACTACGTAACTCAGCTTGCGGGAATAATAATAAACTGAAAAATGAAATAAACGAAAGTTTGGCTCAACTTTAAAACTAGCAAAATGTGCAACTACGTGCAAAAGATGTTATATCTTTTAATGAAATATATTCGATTCTCTATCATAGATTTCACGTTGAGATATACGTAACAAGCTAAATATTTGTGTTGGCGCAACAGTAGTTAGGCTTTTATTACTGCCGCGAATACAGCAGATCCGCGTTCGAATCTCGGAGATAATACGCAATAAAATTACTCAGTTTTTAAGTCTTATCAAATTATTAATATTCTTATAAAATTATTAACATATGAAATTCGTAAATTGCTTGGCAATATAATGCAACATTATTACTTTAGTACTATTCTCTGCTTTGATCGAAAATAGGATATATTTTTCTTTCTCAATTCATTGATTCATATATGTGTAAGATTTACCGTTAAGCTCCTATAAGTAAAATAATAATATATTCCTCGAGTGCTTTACAAATAAATACACATAAATATCTTCCATCTTTAAAACAGAAGTTGAGAAACGCTGCGACTAAAGAATGTATATTGCACGCTTTACAAGCGCGGTGATATTGTAACAAAATATCAACATTACGAGTAAAGTAGACCACCACAGCTAACGCCAGTAATTGATAGCCATAAATCTTGAGGAGATTTCGCAACGGACAGATTCGGAGCGACGATGATAACATCGGTATAACGATGCGGGTGTACGCGGGAAGAAGATGCACCGTTTACCGTCGCCGCGCCTTCTCGTTCGATGCCTTGGCGAACGCAAAGTCGAGCGTTTACACGCGAAAGAATGCGAGGCCGAGGAAAGATCGTCCCGTAGATCGTATGCGCCAGCGAGGAAGGTGAGGCCAATCTCGTCAGTCAGCTGAGCAAAGATTGACATCACCGCCGCGTGCCGGCGCGCTGATTCACGCTTATTCGGGAAGAAAGTGCTCAAGAGACTCGATAGGAAGATGGGGATTTGAGTAGCCCCGGCGCGGCAATCCGTTTAGATCCGTCAGTCTGTCAATTAAAATACCAGCCTGCGGATTACGTCGGCTTCCAGTGTGCGAGAGAGGAGCGTGGCTCTCGTGTATTTGCGTAGCTGATTAGTATAGACGCACGAGCGGAATGAGATGCGTCGAGTCATCGGTGAATTTTGGCGCCGACGATTGTTTACGAATGTCGGATATACCCATCGCGAACTACGTAACGTTTGAATTTTCAATGTGGACAGTCGTAGGCACATGAAAAATACTGAGAGAGAGAGAGAGAGAGAGAGCGGGGGAGGAAGAGAATTTTTATTTACCCATGTTAAATATAATACCAAATGTGTGCGTACGTAGATAACCATCAATTTTCAACGAACTTTCGACTTTGCGTTGCCGATTCTCAACTTTCAAATTACAAAATTGAAATATACAAAAAGTTTTTAATTATTTGAGATATACCAAAATTTTAATATACGGATGCCTCAATCGGCAAATAAATTTATTGTGTAAAATCCGCTAACGATTATTTATACCTTTCACTTCCGTAATTTTTTTTCACAAGCTCCTTTTATTAGCGATGAATAATAGCGAGTTAAAAATCACGGTCCATGTATTTATCACGGTAAATGTATTTTGAATAGATAATTAGTACTTTGAATAGATAATTGTTTAGTGCAAACTGCGCAAATATAATAATCGTGAATATCAAATGCAAATTAAATGTTTATGCGATGCGTAAAGGCTTGAGGAAAGTCATCGCGGTCGCCACATTCACAGCTTGCAGCGATAAATGGTGTCATCACTCCCGTCTTGATTTACGATTAATTCGTATGATATATCATCGTGCACGGGTGCGTTTATAATATTCGCAGGTGCACGGACAAATGCGATGCAAGATCTTGCACTCGAACGGCAAGCGAGTAGATAAACGAGTTGTTTCTACGAATGAAATATGCGAGGAAACACAATAAATACTTCGCGCCAATAAATTTTAGCATCATTAAAGTCTCGGTGCGTCGGAATAGGTGTTTGAAGAAATCGCGCACAAACTCAAATCTTAGCACAAACAAATTTGAAGAAGCGTTACTTCTTAAATCATCTTGCGGGCAACGCAATGAACTTCGCACATCGATATCAATAGCGTAATCGTATAATCTGAAAACATACGTGCTATTTATATTCCTTGTAAATCTTTGTATTCTTCCAGCATTCATCTTTAGACGATAAAATGTCAGTTAGTGATGGCAGGATCGTTTAAATTCATCTATTTGAATAATTTCATTTATTT